ATATATAACAAATGAGCATATTGTTAGACACGCAACTTACCGGTTGGTAACCATTGAGACTGTCTGCGTTTGCCATTTTTCTTACACTCTGCACTATCTTGTCCAGCTGCTTCCTCCTGTTAGATGTAGTATTATAATTATTGTATTAGTTATGGCTTATGTGTGACGTGACGCCTTGCAAGTGTTCAGTACAAATGTACGCTTGTGTCATCTCCAGTAAAGCCAACCAAAATAAATTATATGTATGCGTACAGTCATACGTACGCATGAGATACGTTGCAAAAAACGGCGCTATAGACATCACATAGCCATTCTCGGCCGCAGGTATAAAATTGAACTAAGGGCCTTTTAGGATTTTAGGGTTTAGGGTTGATATCGAAATTCCACCTGATACTTACTGTTCCGGTGCCATCAAGAGGTCGGATGACGTGTCCATCCTCTCATAAACAGCGAGAGCTTCAGCAATGTTTCCGTGTTGTATATGATAAAGTACCATCAAGTCCCACCTATTCGCCACAGCCAACTCATCCATCATGCACTCAACTTCCCTCTCCTTCAGTCCCAGCGTGAACACTTTCCTGTACAGACGCTCTACACATATACATTGACATATATGTGAGTACGTATGTGCGCGTATATAAATATATAAATATGTAAATGTGAGTGACAATTTGCACGCACATTTGCCTGTGTGCGTGTAGATACAGGTTTGTACGTAATTTTATGTACATATGTATTTACGACCAGAAGTATCATAAGCTCTAATCTGCGCTGCCTCAGTCTGAAAGCAAGCACTTACATGTACAGACGTTCTGCACTCTCACACCCCTGCGAATATAAATTTTGTGCAACCGTGCACGTTCATTTGTAAGTATACGTATGTACAACTTATATATGCACGGGTGTGAAAGTTTTAGTGTACAACGTGCAAGGTTTCACATAACTGTAAGGTTAAAAATTGCATAAACAATATAACATATATATGAAGGGTGTGAAAGTTTTATATATACGTAAGTTATATATATATATATATATATATATATAATATATATATATATATATATATAATATATATACATATTTATACACACATACATAC